CTGGGGTGCACACTGCCACACATGGTTTATGTCGTCCTGGGGTGCACACTACCACACACAGTTTATGTGGTCCTGGGGTGCACACTGCCACACACGGTTTATGTGGTCCTGGGGTGCACTCTGCCTGTCACACATGGTTTATGTGGTCCTGGGGCGTGGACCCAGGGCTTTGGCTGGGTAGCTGTTCTGTCAACTGAACCACATCTCAACCCTTGGATTTAGTTTTCTAAAAACATAAATAAGGGGCCAGAGAGATGGCTCAGTGGTTAAAGGTGCTTGCTGTCAAGCCTGACCGTCTGAGTTTGACCCAGAGGCTCACTGGTGCAAGGAAAGAACCCTGAGAAGTTGTCCTCTGACTTCACATCCCTTCCCTCCCCCATACACAGTTAACAACTGTAATTTAACTTTTTTTTTCCTTTTTCTTATTTTGGAGACAGTATCTTAACTATATAGCCTTGGCTAGCTTAGAACTAAGTATGTAGACCAGGCTGGCCTGGAACTCAAGTACTGGGATTAAAGACATGCACCACTATATCCAGCTAGAATTTTTAAATAAAACCTTTATTTGTTCTGGAACATTTTATAGATTCCAAATTTGGAGTCATTACCATTGCCTGATACTGAATTCATTCATCTTTCCTCCCTCCTTCCCTCCCTCCCTCCCTCCCTTTCTTTATGTTTTTCAAGACAGGGTTTCTCTGTGTAGCACTGACTGCCCTGGAACTCACTGTGTAGACCAGGCTGACCTCAAATTCACAGAGATCCGCCTGTGTCTGCCTCCCGAGTGCTGGGATTAAAGGCGTGCACTACCACTGCCCAGCTCTTTTTTAGTTTAAGGTTTAAAAAAAAAAGTGTGTGAATGTTTTCCTGCATGTATATATGTCCTGCATGTGTGTGCCTGACCTCATGGAGGTCAGAAGAGGATGTGGGATGCTCCTAGAACCCGAGTTGCAGGACATCTTGAGCTACCATATGGGTGCTGGAAACTGAGCCCTGGTCTTCCGCAAGAGCAGCCAGTGTCTTAACCTCTGAGCTGTCTCTGCAGTGAGCCCCTCCCCTCTGGTATTCTTTCCTGTTAATTTACTCTTGGAGCACCATCTTGGAGGAAGAGCAAGGGAAAAGACAGAGTTTACGGTTAGCACTTGCTGCTGTTCTATGACGAATGGCTGTTGCATTGTTTGCTTCAACACTTGTTCTGCTGTCCATCATTTGATTGATTGATCTCAACAGACTTACCCCGGATTGACTTCAGTAGCATAGCTGTGCCTGGCACGTCAAATCCCCAACAGCGCCAGCTGCCCAGAGCACAGGCTCAGCACTCATCTCCTGGAGAAGTAGCATCGACTCCTCAAGGCTTAGACAACCCAGCCCTGCTCCGAGACATGCTGCTGGCCAACCCTCACGAGCTGTCCTTGCTGAAGGAGCGTAACCCACCCCTGGCAGAAGCTCTGCTCAGTGGAGATCTCGGTAAGCTCACTTGTGTGTCAGTAGTGCCAGAACAAATGTGCAAGACCCAGGCAATTGTTTTAGTCCATCGGCTCCTGTCTGCTCTGATTGTTGAACAGGCCACTGTTGATGAGAGGTGAACTAATGTCATCTCAAAGACTGGGTTAATTGGCAATAATGTTTGTGTTTAATTGAAATCATCTTGATCTTCAGGGTCTCTTCATCCAACTGGGCCTCTGCCTCCAGAGTGCTATGATTAAAGACTTGTGCTACTACACCAAGCTTCTTTTTTAAAAAATGTAATTTTGGGGGTTGGGGATTTAGCTCAGTGGTAGAGGGCTTGAGGCCCTGGGTTCCGTCCTTAGCTCCAGGAAAAAAAAATTAATTTTGGCCAGGTGCACACTTTAATCTCAGTACTTGGGAGGCAGAGGCAGGTGAATCTCTGTGAGTTCAAGGCCAGCCTGGTCTACAGAGCTAGTTCTAGGATAGCTTAGTTACAGGACTACACATCTCTCTCTCTCTCTCTCTCTCTCTCTCTCTCTCTCTCTCTCTCTCTCACACACACACACACACACACACACACACACACACATACACACTACCCTGTCTTGGGAAAAACAATTTTTTTTAAATTCTGTGTGTGTGTCTGCATGTGTGGCCAAACATACACACACACTCTCACTCTGTCTGTCTCTGTCTCTCTCTCTCTCTCTCTCTCTCACCACCCTGTCTTGGGAAAAACAATTTTTAAAAAAAAAAATTCTCTGTGTGTGTCTGTATGTGTGGCTAAACATACATACACACACATACACACACTCTCTCTCACCACCCTGTCTTGGGAAAAACAATTTTTTAAAAAAAAATTCTCTGTGTGTGTCTGTATGTGTGGCTAAACATACATACACACACACACACACACACACTCTCTCTCACACCACCCTGTCTTGGGAAAAACAATTTTTTTTAAAAAAAATTGTGTGTGTGTGTGTGTCTGCATGTGTGGCCACAGCTGACATGCAGAGGTCAAAGACAGCCTTGGCTGTCGGTCTTCATCTCCCACCTTGTTTTGAGAGCAGGCTCCCTGCTATTTGTCACTGTGCTGTGTGCAACAGGCTGGCTGGTCTGTGAGCTGCTGGGGAGTCTTTCACTGTAGAGACACTGGCACCCAATGGGTTCGACTGCACCAGCTTTTCGTGGGTTCTGGGGTCCAAACTCAGGCTTCATCTTGTATAGTAGACGTCACAGCACACAGCACAGCCACAGTAGAGGACAGCTCTCAAGGGCTGCTTCTCTCCTGCCCTCTTCGGGGAGCCAGAGATTACATTCAGATAACCAGACTGGTGCACAAGCCCCTCTACCACACCAGGCTTGGTTTTCATCTTTTTAAAGTGGGGTTGCATGTGTAGACCAGGGGAAAACCTCGTTTATCATCCTCAGTGTCATCCACCTCCTGTGCGGAAGGGTCGCTCCTTGACTTTTCAGCAGGGAGGTGAGGCTGGCCGGCCACAGGAATCCAAGTGTGCATCATCATTTCCAGCAGTTTATGTGGTCTCTGCATTTCAGACTGAGGCCCCCATGCTTGCAAGTTAAACACATTCCCCACTGAAGCCATCTCTCCCCTTGGAAGTTCCATTGTGTTCCTTCTGTTCAGTTTCCTTCCTCTTGAATAGACTAGCACTGTTCTCATGATTACCGATTTGTTTTGCCTGTTTTCAAACTTTTTGTATTTGGAATTGTAGAGTACTCTCTTTGGTGCTGAGGTTTATTTATTTACTTGTCTTTGGTTTTTCAAGATAGGGTTTCTCTGTGTAGCCCTGGCTGTCCTAGAACTTGCTCTGCAGACCAAGGTGGCCTCAAACTCACAGAGATCTGCCTGCCTCTGCCTCCCAAATGCTGGGATTAAAGGCGTACATCACCACTGCTAGACTGAAATAAAAACATTTTTAAAATAATGGATTAAAAATAAAAAAGTGGCCAGATGGTGGTGCTACACACCTTTAATCCCAGCCCTGGGGAGGCAGAGGCAGGCAGATCTCTGAGTTTGAGGACACCCAGGGCTACACAGAGAAACCTTGTCCTGTGAAAACCAAAAGAAAGGAAGAAATGTAGAACTGAATATACCCCTCTCATTTTGTAGAGAAATTCTCTAGGGTCCTGGTAGAGCAGCAGCAGGACCGAGCTCGGAGAGAACAAGAAAGGATTCGTCTGTTTTCTGCTGACCCCTTTGATCTTGAAGCTCAGGCAAAGATAGAAGAAGATATAAGGTAAGATCCATCTACCTAATGAGCAAGCTCACAGCATCCAGGTCGTCAGTCATTAGCTAGACAGAGGCTGCTTCTCTGTCTCCAGGTTGAGATAATAACCTCAGTCTTCTTTGGTAACTCTCTCCTTCATTGTCCTCACATTCTGATCTGATTTGGAAAATACTTAATGATTTCTGCTCTCAAATTTTGTGAGCACTTCCTGATTAGCAGACAGAGCAGCATCGTTAAAGCTGGGTAGGTGACCCCAGAACGACCGAGGAGAAACCCCATCTGCTGAGATCAGTAGACTGGCTCTGAAGGTTGATTTCAGTCCTGATTAAATCAGGTCTTGAAGGCAATTGGATTAGAGAGCTCCACACAGGTGGGGTCTCATAGTCCTCTGTCTTCTTTCTCCTGGGCCTTTGCTGACTCGGCTGGTGGATAAGCTCTCTGCCTGACACATTGCCACCTCTGAGTCTGTTGCAGTGGTTCTCTGTTGGGGCTGTATTAAAGCATGCAGTAAGCTTTTAAAACTGCAGATGCGTAAGCCTTCTCTAGTCTGATGAGTCAGGATCTTTCAGAGTGGAGCCCAAGCAAGTACAGAGATGCTAATGGCAGTGCCGGCCATATCACTAGTCTCAGGCAAGATGCTGTTTGAATAAAATGGCCATCTGCTCCCCAAACCCAATTCAGTTTTTGTTGCTAATTATGAAAATCCTCCTGTAACTAAGAGGAACAAATCTAACGGTACTCCTATTACAATGAGTAGGGTGGGAGCTGTAGTTACCTGATTGGCTTGCTTTATTACACTCATAGGCTCTCTCTACTGTGTGCCCACACTGGGGACCTGATGAATTCATACCTGTTAGACTAGTCCTTTATTGCCAGGCTGATTCTGGACACTCGGACTGTACTCGAAATTGCAGAAGGACAAGTCATATTCCAGGACTAATTGAAAGCCCTAAGCTATTTGCTCATGTTCTGTTGCTTAAGTGTCCTCACTAATCGAATCAGATATTGGTGTTTTTTCCCCTCTTAGCACAGTTAGGCAAGTTTCTGCCACTGAGTCATATCCTCAGCTCTGCTTTTACTTTTTATTTTGAGACACGATCTGACTAAGCTGGCAAGCTGTCCTTGAGCTTAATGTCCTGCCTCAGCTTCCCTACTAGCTAGGTCTGCAGACCTGCGCAGCCATGCTTTAATCAGATATTAGTATCTATGGACATAGCTTAACTAGCTCAGTCAGCCCAGAGAAATAAAGCCCTTGTGTTCTTACTGGGTCACATTGCAGCTGTAAGAGAGTCTGACATTGATTATAAGCATAAACAAACCCTGGAAGTAGAGTATCAAATCCAAACAGGTCGTTTCCTATGGGGGTGGGGTAAAGGAAGCAGATTACAGATTATCCAGACAGCACCAGCTGGCCTACATGGCTGTGCATCTGGGGTTGCCCTGATACTCTTTGTGTTGTTTGGTTAGGGTTGGTTGGTTTTTTGCCTTTTATTGTTTTGATACAAGGTTGTAGCTGGAGTTTTCTCCAGTCCCGCTCAGGCCCACAGCTGCTCAGACCCAATTAAACACACAGAGACATATATTACTTATAAACTGTATGGCTGTGGCAGGCTTCTTGCTATCTAGTTTTTATATCTTAAATTAACCCATTTCTATAAATCTATACTGTGGCTCATGGCTTACCGGTATCTTTACATCTTCTCATGACTGCAGCAGCTGGCAGCATCTCCTGACTCAGTCTTCCACTTCGCAGAATTCTCCTCTCTCCTTAGCCCGCCTATACTATACTTCCTGCCTGGCTACTGGCCAGTCAGCGTTTTATTTATCAATCAGAGCAACACATTCTAGCATATAGAAAGACATCCCCAGCGCAAGGTCTTACTGTGTAGCCTTGGTTAGCCTTGAACTCTGAGATTTACCTGCCTCTGTGTGTTCCACCATATGTTGTAAATACTTATTTTAATTTTACTGGGGTGTGTGTGTGCGTGTATGTGCCACATGAGTGTAAGGAGCCTGTTGGATCATTTGGTAGCTGTGAACTGCCTGATGTGGATGCTGGGAACCAAACTCAGGCCTTTGGAAAAACAGTAAGTGCTCTTGACGCCGAGTTATCTCTCCAGCCCAAGAAATGTGGGCAAATCTACCTAGAGTTACAGCATTTTTATTATAATTTATTTATTGGTCTGGATATACATGCAGTGATACATGTGTGTCAATCAGAAAACAACATTCAGGAATAACATTTGGTTCTCTCCTTCCACCGTGGGTTATAGAGATCAAACTTCAGTTGTAAGATTGGTGAGAAGCACCATGCTTCCTGAGTTGTCTTGATGGCCCCATATTCATCCCTTGAAGGAAACTTCGTACTTCTGAAGATTCTCTATTGAGACCTTCAGAGCCATAGCCAATTGGTATCCCAAAGGATTGATTTTTCTGCTTGGTTTTTTTTTTGTTTGTTTGTTTGTTTGTTTATTTCTTGTTTTAAATGGGCTTTTCCTCAGTTTCACTCACTTTTATTTTTTGAGACAGTGTCTCTTGCTGGACCTGTAGCCAACAGATTTGGGTAGGCTTGTTAACTGACCAGTGAGCTCCAGGGACCCTCTTGTCCCTACCTCCCCACCTCTGAGATTGCGCTTGGATGCTGCCAGGTATCCTCATGCTTGGATGGTAAACATGTTATTGACTGAGCCATCTCCCTAGCCTCACTTTTTCTTTTTTTCCCCTGAAATTTAACTTGAGTTAGAGTAAGATCAGGGGTACATAATTAGTTGTTATGTAATTTCTAAATTTAATAATGTGTCATTGGATAAAGGTGTATAATTACATTAAATGTGTCTTAAAATTTCTGCCTGGCACATGACGCTATTGAACAGGGGCATATGTGCACCAAGGTGTGATAGCTTCCCTGTTTGCCAAACTAAATTAAACAAGGGCGTCCGGACTTTGTGAGACGTTTAACCGTCTGCTGCAGATCTGAGGTTAACCATGGGTTCAGTGAACGGGAGCCTTAGGAAGGCACAGGCAATGGCCTTGAGAGCAGGGTCAGCAGACCTCTGTAAAGGCTAGTAATGACTGTTCTAGGTTCTGCAGGCCACGTGACCTAGTCTCCTGTTCAGCTCTGTGTCTGCCGTGCAAGCGAATGGTGGTGGGACAGCATGGTAGTTACTTACCTACTTGCTTCTTAAGGAAGGAGAGTTTCTTTATTATTTACTCTGTTTAAGGCTGTAGTCAGTGATGGTGGGGAAGACATGACAGCAGGATCGTGTTTCCTTCTTATTCAGTCTTGGACCCCAGCCTATGAAATGGTGGTGCCCACATTCAGGGATGTTCTCTCCTCAGTTAAACCTTTTCCGAAGCACCCTCACTGACTGAGGGATTTTAAAACCACTGGAGATTTTAAAACCACTGTCGCTGATAATCCAGGTTAACCATCACATGTTATGTAGACAGTGTCTCTGTTCCCATACATTAAGACATGCACATGTATTGCAATGTGGTTTTAGCAGTCCTGAGTTCACAGTGAACTTTACCCCAAATTGTAGATGGAATTCAATATTCCCAGTCTGAAGGTATGAGTCTAAGCAGTGCGTTTTGAGGCAAGGTTTCATGTAGCTCAGGCTGGCCTTAAATGTCGCCCAGGGTGACCCTGAAGTTCTGATCCTCTTGCCTTCACTTCCCAGATGCTGGAATTTGCAGATGTGCACCACCACACCTGATTTGTATGAGTCTGGTGTCCTGCTTTCATGCATGCTACATCTCCCAATAGATGCAATTTTTGAAGCTCTGCTCTTACCTTAGCACCATAAGCTAAATTTTTTAGGCTGCTCATCTACCTTGTAATGGGAAGGAATTGTTTTTTGGTGGGTTTTTGTTTGTTTATTTTTTAATTTTACAGATTAGAAAAGCTAGTTGTGGAAAAGAAGCAGCCTGTGCAGCACAGACAGGTGGAATACATGGAATTCTGTTTGAAGACTTACTGATGCACTGGGATGATAATTCAGATGCCCAGGACATCCTCAGTTAAAATAGCAGCACATGGTTGGCATGGTGACACATTCTTTTAATACCAGTACTTGGAAGGCAGAGGCAGGCGGAGCTCATGAATTTGAGACTAGCCTGATCTATGGAGCGAGTTGCAGGGCAACCAGGGCTACACAGAGAAACCCTATGTTTCAAAAAGATCCATTCCAGGGGCTGGAGAGATGGCTCAGAGGTTAAGAGCACTGACTGCTCTTCCAGAGGTCCTGAGTTCAATTCCCAGCAACCACATGGTGGCTCACAACCATCTGTAATGAGATCTGGTGCCCTCTTCTGGCCTGCAGTCACATATGCTGTATACATAATAAATAAATAAATAAATCTTAAAAAAAAACAAAAAACAAAACTAAGAAAAAAAAAAAAAAAAAAAAAGATCCATTCCAAAATAACAGAGATCAAAATAGAGGCGCATGCTTGCAAGGTCTAGTAGCACACATAATCCCAGCAATGGAGAGGCTGAGCTGAGAGGGTCACAAGTTCAAGTCTAACCTGTGCTATGTAGTAAGACCCTGTCTCAAGTAGCATTCATGAAATTTCAGTGTTTGTTAAGATACAAAGGGACTATGGCCTTGCTTTCTAGGAGTTTATTTTTCCATATCTGAGCTTTCAAAGGGAGCACGATTGTTTTACATGAGGATAATTTTATGCCTGTCTTAGGTCTTCTGCCAGCTTTGTCTCTCCTTACCTCCTGTTGAGTCACCTGTTGGGGAACACAGAACCAACTTCCATTCTATGACTCAGCTGCTCCAGTTAGGGAAAAAACCATTTACCCAATGTGTTCTTTCCTGGAAACGGAGCTCTCAGTGTGCTGCTCTGACTTGTCACAGGCAGCAGAACATCGAGGAGAACATGACGATAGCTATGGAGGAGGCCCCAGAGAGCTTCGGCCAGGTCGCCATGCTCTACATCAACTGCAGAGTGAACGGGCATCCTGTGAAAGCCTTCGTTGACTCAGGTAATGATGGAGAGAGGGGAGGCTTTGATGTCTATTAGACACTGGTCCTATGGTCTGCTTGCCTATTGATGCCTAGAAGTTACATTTTCACTTTTCAGTCTGTGTTGGTGATCGATTTCTTTCCCAGTCATTTCTTAACCTGGTTTTAGGTTTAGAGTGCCTCAGCTGGTGGTAAGGACTTGGATGGGTGTAACCAAAGAACTGAAAAATAGAGGCTCAAACAGAGGGAGGCAGTCCGGGATGATGGGGGTTGGGAGGTGGAGTGGGAGTTGGATCAGTGGTTAAGAGTTAGAACTATTGCTGAAGATGTGGGTTCGGTTCCCAGCACCCAAATTACACAGCTCACAAACACCTATAACTCCAGCTCCAGACAATATGACACCCTCTTCTGGCTTCCATGGGCACCTGTACTCATATTGCACCCCCTCTCCACATATACATGTAATTAAAAATGCATCCTCAGCTCTATAGTGAGTTTTAAGCTGGTTTGTGAGATTTATGTCTCACCTGCTTCAGACAGTAAGATAAGTAAGATGCAGTGTGCCTGACCCCGGCTGGGCACTGACTTGACACAGTCCTATAGAAAGTGGGAACCTTTAAGGGTTATTGAACAGATAAAGAAATGATTTGAAGGAGGTTATAGTTTGGGACTGCAGGCAGAATCAGCTGGAAAAATTCTATAATTTTGAGGGTCGTATTTGCTTTAAATTATATGTGCATGGCACAGATTCAGAGCCAGAAGAATCCACTTAGGAGGGAGGTGGGTGTGAGCCCTCAGCAGCTTTGGAAAGAAGGAAGAAGGTCAGAACAGCAGACATTGTGGAGATCTGATTTGTAGTTTCAGGCAGTTCAAGGGCGCAGTGAAGGCGGCAGTAGTCAACATTGAACTGTGCCATAGTTGTAAGATGGTGAAAAGGCCATGCCACTGGCAAAGAGAGACATCTGAAGTGAGGTTTGGGAGGAGCTAGAGCTGTCCAGTACCCAGGTGTATGGAGCCAGTATTCAAGGGAGGGGCTAGGGCTAGACAAAGATTACAGAAGTATCAGCCTGATACAGCTAAGTACATATGCCCTGAGATAGAAAATAATCTCATGTAAGGCTAGGGATGTGTCTAGCATACACAAAGCCCCGAGTTGGAACCTAGCACTGCATAAAACTTAATAGGAACATAATAGAGCATGTTTGTAACCCCAGCACCCAGGGAGGTGGAAGCAAGAAACTCCTTAGCTATATGGTGAGTTTCCAGCTTGAGTAGCAGTGAGATACATGCCCTCAGCTTTCAAGGGAAGAAGACCCACTTGTAGGTTCATTTCTAAGTTTTTGGAAACGTAGAGGACTTTTGGGCTTTTGTCTCTCTACCCACCTTCCCAGGGGTGTGGTTGTTTGGTTAAGGCAGGGTCTCACTGTATAGCTATGGATGGCCTGGAGCTAGCTGTATAGACCAGGATGGCAAACTCAGAGATCTTCTTGCCTCTGCCTCCTGAGTGCTGGGATTAAAAATATGTGTGTGCTACTGAGGCCGGAGAGATGGCTCAGTGGTTAAGAGTAAGCTAAGAATGCTCTTTCAGAGGACCCAGGTTCAATTCCCAGCACCCACATGACTGCTCACAACTGTCTGTAACTCCAGTTCCAGGGGACCCAACACCCATGGCAAAACACCAATGCACATTAAAAGAAAGAAAGATACGTGCCACCATGCCCAGCTTTTTTCTAAAGTGATTCTGGGTTCAATCCTAGGTTCTTGTCCATGTTAGGCAAGTGTTCTACCACTGAGCTGTACTCAGCTGCAGCCTATATTTTTTAACTTGTGAACAGTGTGTCCCAACACTTTAAGTAAAAATCACTGGAATCTGTGTGTTGAAGAACACACCTGTAATCCCAGGAGGCTGACACAGAAGGATTACATGTTCAAGACTAAATTTGGACTACACGGGAAGTGAGAACCTGACTCAGAAAACAAAAGCAGCCAGGCGGTGGTGGCTCACACCTTTAATCCCAGCACTCGGGAGGCAGAGGCAGGCGGATCTCTGTGAGTTTGAGGCCAGCCTGGGCTACCAAGTGAGTCCCAGGAAATGCGCAAAGCTACACAGAGAAACCCTGTCTTGAAAAACCAAAAAAAAAAAAAAAAGAAAAGAAAAAAGAAAAGCAAACAACAACAAAGACGACGATGTGTTCTCAGTAACATCTGGATTTTAGAAGGTCACCTTCCGATAGGCTTGTTTGCTATTGGTAAAGTTTGTTTTTGTGTGTGTGTGTTTTTTTAAGCCCCCCCTCCCCTTTTAAATTTATTTATTTTCATTTTATGTGCATTGGTGTTTTGCCTGCATGTATGTCTGTGTAAGGATGGCGAGTCCCCTGGAATTGGAGTTACAGACACTTGTGAACTGCCATGTGGGTGCTGGGAATTGAACTCAGGACCTCTGGAAGAGCAGCCAGTGCTCTTAACCTCTGAGCCATCTCTCCAGCCCTGTTAGTAAAGTTTTTAAGTATTGTTCTGGTACTCCATTAAAACCATACTCTTTCTCTCAGACTTTTATACTGTTTTAGATTCTGGTATAGAAATGGAAATTGAATTAAGCAGGGATGTTGGTGCGCATATACCATCCTAGAACATGGGGGTAGAGGCAGAAAGAACAGTAGGAGTTTTCAAAAATAAGTAAAAGATGAGCTAAGCAGGATGATGTTACAGAGACAGAAGTCTTACCACAGATGCGGGTTATATTTTTACAGTGTGATACTTCTCTCTCCCTCCAGGTGCCCAGATGACTATTATGAGCCAGGCCTGTGCAGAAAGGTGTAACATCATGAGACTGGTGGACCGTCGGTGGGCTGGCATCGCCAAAGGAGTGGGCACCCAGAAGATTATTGGAAGGGTGCATCTAGGTGAGTGAAGGCAGGCCGGGTACTGCTTTTGTAGGGCGGTCGAGTTTTGAAGGTCTTTCCTGATTCCCTCTGGTTGGCATGGCCATGCACATGCAAGCAAGCGGATGTGTACCTGTGGGGACACCTGCTCCTGCGCAGGTCAGAGAACAACTGGGGGGTTGGTCCTCTCCTTCCACCCTTCCACAGTCCCTGGACTTGAATTCAGGTTGTCAGACTTTCATGGCTAACAGTTTACTTGCTGACCCTGGAGTGTGGTTTCTTTCCCTCTATCCTGGCTAGGTCAGGAGTCATTTCCATCACAGAGTTAGGCACTGTGTCTTTTTTTTTTTTTTTAAAGATTTATTTATTATGTATACAGCATGTATGACTGCAGACCAGAAGAAGGCACCAAATCTCATTACAGATGGTTGTGACCCACCATGTGGTTGCTGGGAATTGAACTCAGGACCTCTGTAAGAATAGTCAGTGCTCTTAACCTCTGAGCCATCTCTCCAGCCCCCTAGGCACTGTGTCTTAATCTCCCTGTGATCAGTGTTGCTGTGGGGGTGCTGAATGCTCTTGGGATGTGTGGCCCCTTGCTTCTTTCAACTCCCCTTAGGGCATTTCCATGTACTTGAGTGTGATCTTTTCATTTCTTATACTCAACTGTTAGTGGCTTTTTTAGTCTGGAAATACATCTTTCAGTTCCATGATGGAGCCCAGTGCCTTAGCACATGATAAGCACACTCTACAGTCAGGCTGCCCGAGCCCCTTGATGTATTCTAATGGTGATCTATTGGTACTCAGTCAAAATGGTGTCCTCGCTAGGCTCATCCTAGATAGTCTTAGTTTCTCGGGTGTGCGTGCATGTTTCTGTTTCAAGAAAGGAGTGGGGGGGAAATATTAGTGCATCCTTAGAATGGATATTTTCTCAGTTAAACCTTTCTAGAAACTGTAGCAGAATATCCAGAGGTATGTTTCCATAGAGATTCTAGATCCCCTCAAGCTGGCTATAAATAAGATTAAGCTTCACATACCTCTATTTCAAGAACCGGAAAGACATCATAGGAAGGGTTTCCAACCAGGGACTACATGTGAGAGGGCAGCTAGAGGTGAGATTTTGTGTGTGTGTGAGGTTCTTGGTGCTTTTGTTTGTGGTACTCAGTTTTGTGGTTTTGTTTTCATTTTGTTTTTTTGTTTGGTGGTTTTTTGTTTTTTGTTTTTTTGGTTTTTTGAGACAGGTTTTCTCTGTGTAGCTTTGCTGCTTTGCGCCTTTCCTGGAACTTGCTTTGGAGACCAGGCTGGCCTCAAACTCACAGAGATCCGCCTGGCTCTTCCTCCCAAGTGCTGCACAATTAGGACCACCGCCTGGCTCATTTTGTTTTTTAAAGATTTATTTTTTATATTTTTTTCTATAAGAGTGGTTTTGTGTACTATGCATCTCTGGTGCCCTTGGAATTTAGAAGAGGATATCCGATGCTCTGAACTTACAGGTGGTTGTAAGCCTCCATGTGAGTGCTAGGAACCTAACTTGGGTCCTCTGCTAAAGCAGCAAATGTTTGACCTCTGAGCCATCTCTCCAGCCCCAATTATGTAGTTCTGGGTCATGACTTTTATAGTGGGCAGTGTCAAAAGCTGGTCCCTATGCAGGTCTCAATTAGTGTCTGGTTCTAGCTATCATCACCCAGGAGTTGTCCGCACTCTAGATATCTGGAAATCTTAGAGCAAGAGTATTTGCGGTGTTCTGGGGTAGCTGCACGTTCTTGTAGAGAGGGGACTTGGAAATGAGACCAAAATCACAGCACGCATATACAATTGTCCTGGTGGATTACAGCCCATGTCGGTTAGAGAAAGGTTGAATTGGCAAAGTGCTTACTGTGCAAGTGTGAGAACCTGAGTTTGGATCTCAGCATGCACAAGCAAGGTGTGATGGCACCTGTGTGCAGCCTCAAAGCTGTGAGTACTGACTAGCTGGTTCTGGGGACCAGTAAGCCGTCCAACCCAGCCCGAATGTTCAGTAAGACCCTATTTCAAAAACTGCAGTGGAGAGCAATAGAGGAAAAGACATTTAGCCTCAAACTCCACATACATGTTCACACCTACACATGTGCTTAGAGGCAGAACTTCTCAGCTTGAAATGTGGTGTCACGTATACCTGGAAACTAAGCATTTGGCAAGTGGAGGCTGCACAATTAGGACCAGCCTGGACTCCAAAACTGAAGAAGGAGAAGATAATGAAGAAAACAAGGGAAAGATTAAGATTTTGAATTTGTTTGTTTGTTTGTTTGTTTGTTCGAACAGGAGATCTGCCTGCCTCTGCCTCTGCCTCTGCCTCTGCCTCTGCCTCTGCCTCTGCCTCTGCCTCTGCCTCTGCCTCTGGGATTATTAAAGTGAGCTCCACCATGGCCAGCAAGATTAAGAAGTTTGCCTTGAGAGCTGGGCATGGTGGTGCATGTCTTCAAACTAATCTCAGCACTCAGAAGCAGAGGCAGGCAAATCTTTGAGTTCCAGACCAGTCTATAGAGCAAGTTCCATGTCAGCTAGGGCCACACAGAGAAAACCTCTGTGTGTGTGTGTGTGTGTGTGTATGTGTTTGTGTGTGTGTGTGTGTGTGTGTGTGTGTGTGTGTGTTGCGGTGGTGGTGGTGAGTGCCTTGATCACATGTGATATCATACACCTATAGTTCCAGCACTTGAAAAGACAAATAATATTTTGAAATAACAAAATAGACAGTAATGTTGGCTAGAAATATGTATAATACTATCTGAAGATCTAAGAAAAGCTAAAATGATGAACACAGAACTAAGATAGTTGGGAGAGTTGGAGGAGACAGGAGGAATATAGGAAATGTAACACTTTGGTTTTCTTTTTAAGATTTATTTTATTTTATTTTAATGTGTATATGTCTAGCTAAGTGTATATACCATTTGTGTGCAGAGACTACCTGAAATTACAGGCAGTTGTGAACTGCCTGACAGTGGTTCTGAGACCTGAACTCAGGTCATCTGGAAGCACTCTTAACTACTGAGGCAGTCTCCCATTTTGGTTTTCTATTTCTTTTTTTCTTTTTCTTTTCTTTTTTTTTTTTTTAAGATTTATTTATTTATTTATTATGTATACAGCATGTATGACTGTAGACCAGAAGAGGGCACTAGATCTCATCACAGATGGTTGTGAGCCACCATGTGGTTGCTGGGAATTGAACTCAAGACCTCTGAAAGAGCAATCAGTGCTCTTATCTTCTGAGCCATCTCTCTCCAGCCCCCGATTTTCTATTTTTTTATCTGGAAACCAAATGCATGGTTGTTTCTTATGCTTTATATTGGACACATATCTCACACTCTCTTTGGCTTGCTACTTAATAGTAGCAAAGTAATTTAATGTCTGTATTATTATTATTATTATTATTATTATTATTATTATTATTATTTACAGGTGTTTGCCTGCATTTACATCTGTGTATCACATGTGTGATATGTGCCTGGTGCCTGTGGAAGACAGAAGAGGGTACAAGACCCCTAGAACTAGTTACTGGTGATTTTGAGCCATCCTGTGGGTGCTGGGAATTGAATCTGGCTCCTCTGCAACAGCAGTCAGTGCTCTTAATTGCTGAGTCATCCCTTTATCCCCTAGTAAATAATCTCTTTTGTTTCGTGTGCATTGGTGTTTTGCCTGCATGTATGTCTGTATGAGGCTGTTGGACCTCCTGGAACAGGAGTTACAGATAGTTGTAGCTACTATGTCAGTGCTGGGTATTGAACCCAGGTCCTCTGAAAGAGCAACCAGTGCTCTTAACTGCTGAGCTGTCTCTCCAGCCCCTAGTAAAATAAATTTTAACTGAGAAGTAGGAGATTGCAAGCAAAGCCAGACCTTTCTTGTGTCTCTGATTTGTTTTGTTTTTCGAGACAGGGTTTCTCTGTGTAGCTTTGCGCCTTTTCCTGGAACTCACTTGGTAGTCCAGGCTGGCCTCGAACTCACAGAGATCCACCTGCCTCTGCCTCCCCAGTGCTGGGATTAAAGGTGTGTGCCACCACCGTGTCTCTGATTTGAAAATTAGATACTTGGTTCTAACAGGCAATGAGAAGCTTTTTCTTGCATGGATGTTTACTTTAAAGTTTTTTGTTTTGTTTTGGTTTGGTTTTTGGTTTTTTGAGACAGGGTTTCCCTGTGTAGCTTTGCACCTTTCCTGGAACTCACTCTGTAGACCAGGCTGGCCTCGAACTCACAGAGATCCTCTTGCCTCTGCCTCCTGAGTACTGGGATTAAAGGTGTGCGC